GAGGAGACGGAATTCCTTGTCTGTGCCCCCTGTGTTATCCCAAATGCAGCATGCTCAGGTTACAAGGGGCTGCTGTTGAAAGCAGCCCCTCGGACTTGTCTATAGTCTTGTTCGTTTTCAGGGTCAGATCAGCTTCGAATTGTGCTCCCGGAGGTTATCTCTCGCTGAGCTGCCAGATCAGGGCCAGGGGCCAGGCACAGGCAGATGGGCACACCTGCCTGTGGGGCCTGGTGGTGGGTGTGGCCAACCCCCCAGAGAGCTAAGCCCGCAGGCCGAACAGCTCAGCGCCTTTTCCTGGGCTCCAGGGATTCCCTGGTCCGTTCTCTCTGCTCTTGTCCAAGCACTGACTGTTAATAACAGTAGCACTTGCAGACGGCTCCCTTGCTGCTGCTCACTTGTTCCAAGCTATTGTTTGTTTGTTTTTTTAAGATTTTATTTATTTGACAGATATCGAGAGAGGGAACACAAGCAGGGGGAGTGGGAGAGGGAGAAGCAGGCTTCCTGCCAAGCAGGGAGCCCGATGCGGGTCTCAATCCCAGGACCCTGGAATCATGGCCTGAGCCAAGGGCAGATGCTTAATAACTGAGCCACCCAGGTGCCCCTGTTCCAAGCTATTCTAATCATCGAAATCATTCTGCAAGGAACATTTTATTATCCTCAAGCCACAAATGAAGAAACTGGGGCTCAGATAGATTAAGTAACTTGCCCAAGGTCACACAGCTAGTAAGTAGGGATGGACTGTGCTAACAGGTCTTTCCTTCCCCTGCTGCTCTGTCCCTAATAAGACTCCAGTCCAGGAGAGTATGGTTACCTATGGATGTTAGGCCAGTTCTTTCTCCGGGCTGGAAAATTAAAAGCCAGTGACCCTGTGCTAGGAAAGATGGTGGACCTGGGCAGTAACCTGACTTTTTGTTTCCTGGCTCACATGGAGGCTCTAGCCAGTACAAACCAAATTCATACAGGAAGATGGAATTTGGTCCATGAAATGGGGCAACTGGGGTCCTGTCCCTCCTCTGCCACTTACTACGTGGCCTTGGCCCAAACACTGACCCCCCCCCCCACTAAGCTCAGTGGCCAGCAGCCTCAAGATTGTTGTGGAATGTTCTACACTATTGTGGAACCTTACAAGCGAGCCCACGGGACAAGCAGACACACCACCTGTATACACAGGGCTGTCATGAACACACTCCCTTCCTGCCCCCCCCCCGCACCCTCCCCCTCCCCAACCAGCCTTAGAGCCTGTGAAACAAGATTAAGAACTTTCAGAGGGGAAATCATTTTTCAAGGGCAACCCCAGACACCTGAGTTTTACAGTGGTCATCGATCATTTTCAGGCAGAGACCTTGTCAGGTTTGCATTTGGTTTGAATAGACCCACAGGATTGAGTTCTTGCCCTGATTTTTACATACATAATAATGACACCTGCAAAAGACATTGAAGCCCTTCCTGATGTTCCTGGTCAGGAAGTGACTCAGCTGGGCTGACTGCCCAGCCAGCAGGGCCTTGGGTACCTTGTGTGGTCAGGGGGTGCCATGGGAGCGAGACAGGCACGGCTTCAGAAGCCTTCTCCACTCACCAGTGCAGTTTCCTGGGGCCCCAGCCACCGTCTGTCCCGCCCCAGAAGGAGCCCCTCTCCTAGAAGGAGTATGAAGACACTCAATTCCTAATTCTCCCTTCTCGACGTGTCTCCTGCACCAGGTGGTTCCAGGGCCTGTAGTCCGAGTCAACATCTGATGAGAAAAGGGATGTTGATGTTGCCCCTAGAACAGCACGCAGATACCTCTTTTCCCCACGTGCGTAATTCAGTGCCAAATAGGCAGATACCAGGTCCCAAGTACACAGTAATCCCATTTTCCCAGGAAGCAAGTTTTTTTTTTTTAATTTTACAACCAACTTGACATATAAAAGTCTTTAATGGTAGAGGCAGACAGGTCAAATGCCTACCTAAAATATATAATTCATTCAGGTCATTACACATGCATATTTAATATTGCACATTACACATGCATATACTTATCTTTTAACTTAGAAATAGTGCCAGTTTTCTCCACGTAATAAAGTCAGACCTGATGAAGCTGCTGGGTGTACGAGGTCAAAAACGAGTGCATCTGAGCAGTTTTATAAGGTGCAACCTAACATTTGCTGCGTCTGCCCTCATCATTACCCCCTCCACCTTCTGGGTCCCCCGTTGGCCAGCATAGGACCTGTCCCCGCTGAGTTCACAGAGATGCCGCATCTTCCGGAATCTGTAAGTGCTGCTCTCGCTGGACAGGCCCTCGTTACCTGGGGTGTCGCTTAGGGCTGTGTTTGCGGGACTTTGCTCTGCATTTGCATGGCCATGCTCCGCATCCTCCGGATTTCGTAGTACGTTACAATCCTTAGGCTTTTCCTTCTTTCATTCTGTTGGTGTGGATCCCAGGCTCTTTGTATAACCACTTACCAGCTTGCTTTTCAGTGATTCTTAAACCTTTTTTAGCTCATCCTCCTCATTTGTGACTATGAGTCATGCCTCCAAGAGACAGTTACATTTCTTTTGCTTCCTTCTTTTTTTCTTGCTCCCCAAGTGATCACGCTACAAATAAAGGCACCCCTTATCCCTGCCCCTGAACTGTGAGAGCTTTTGTTCTCATGAAAATATATGGCAACTTAGTCTTTTCCAAGAATAATTTTGAGTGAAAGCCATCTCCTCCTTTTATTCGAGCATACCTGTATAAACTCAGCAGGGTGATAGCTGGATGTCCATTCTTGCTTAATTACACATTTTTGTATATGAATCTTCACCGGTTTGTTGTTAAGAAAAGAGAGCTCATTATACTCTACATAGGACACTGAGCAGAAGTTCCAGATAAATCAGAGGTTCTCAGTTCTGGGTGCCCCTTCTAGAGATGGATTGGTCTGGGACATTGAGGTTTTTAAAAGCACAACAGGAAATTCCTGCAACAGATCCCAGCTCCCTCCTTGATGCCCTCCAGGTGGAAGTCATGTTGCTACGGCAGCCATCCCATGTTCCAGGTATCCTGTTGGTGGGACCCTGTCGTATGGCCTCATCCTTCCACCTCAGCACCCCTCAAACTTCCCTGGGTCCCAGTGCTAACTCCTGAATCTCAGGAATGCCCCAGTGTGAAACCCCTGCCTGGTTTATCTAGAAAACAGACTGTTAAGGAAGACACAATGTTGAGGCCCCTGGAGCTGGCCGCGTCCTCTGGGGGAGGGTGCCTGTTCTGGCTTGAACATGCCAGAGCCCACAGGGAGGGTTGCTTATGGCTTCCTCACATCTTTTTTTATTTGAAAAGACTGGGACCCCTGCACTATTCTCTCGAGATTCCTAACCCTTCTAAAGTAAGAAATACAAAACAAAAACAAACGAACAAAAATAAAAACCAATTACCAAGATCCTACTTGTCAGACTGGAAAGCAGAGGAATTCACTGGGTGTGCACAAGCACTTTGGGGAGCAGACCGTGCCCCTTGGTCACAGCCGGTCCCAGCAGTCTCCCACTGATCCAGTGCCTGGTGACTCCTCACAGATTTTCCCCTCCCCCGCCCCCAGGAAGGCCCTCCTTCCAGCACAGGCCAAGGTCAGGCCTGACAGGGAGGAGACGGGGGCACATGATCCAAAGGGACCTGGTGTCACTACCCCATGTGGGGTTCAGAGGACAGGCCCCGCTCCCCTCTCTGCCGGCATGAACTCCAGCTGGGCTGTGGCTCCAGAGGGGTTTGCTTTATTAAAGTTTTGCAGAGTGTTCTCAGAACCCCATAAATCATGGGTGGCTAGGGGACCCCAGGTGGAGAGAGTGCACCTGTGCACCTGACTCTCCAGATGGAGGAGACTAGCTTATCAGAGAGTGAGTTCTGGAGAGAGAGTTCCCGGGGCTCCTGGGAGAGCCAGCAAGGGCCCAGGAGCTCGGAGGGCAGGATCAGGGCAGAGGGGCCGAGGAGCTGGCGGGTTCCCTGTGGAACACTTTATAAAAGGGTGCAGAGAGGGATAGGAGGACAGGAACTATATGGGGAAGTCCTACCAGGTGCGCTCAGTGGGAACCTGGGATGTCTGCCAAGCTAACTGGGCTGGTTTGGCAAACCCAGGTCTACAAGGACTGGAGATGCCAGCAGCTCAGGCCTTGGTGTCTGAGTTAAAACTGTGAGCCACAAATAATCTGTGACTCCAGGATGGAAGGTTGCACTTCCTTTTCTCCCACTTAATTCTGGGCCCCAACTCTTCAGGCTTTCGGGAAATTCAACCCCACCCATGACTGAGCTCGCCTCTACATCCAAGGCCAGGGGGAGATGCCTGAGGTCATCATGCCCAGCACCTTCTGGGTGCCACCAAGCTGCCTTGTCTGCTAGCTGGAGAATTTGGAAGCCCAGCTTTCTGCTTGGAACAGCGTAGAAAGGGTGGGAAGTAAGATGCAAGCCTCATAAATTAATATTTTAGCAACGATCTCGTGTCTTTGCTTGGGCTGCTGAGATGAAATACCATAGATGAGAAGCTAAAACAACAGACATTTATTTCTCACAGTTCTGGAGGCAGGGAAGCCCAAAGTCAAAGTGCTGGCCAATTTGGTTCTTGGTGAGGGCCCACTTCCTGGCTCGCAGATGATTGCTTTGTCACTGTGTCCTCAAGTGGTGGAAAGTCAGTCTCTGGTCTCTCTTCCTCTTTTAAAAGGACCCTAATCTCTTCATGGAGATTCTACCCTCATAGCATCATCTAAACCTAGTTACCTCCCCAAGTCCCCCCCCCCAAAAAAAAATACCAACCCATTAGGAGCCAGGGCTCCAACATGTGGATCTGGGGAGACAAAGAACATTCAGTCCATAACATCTTGAAACAGGCGTCTATCAGGCAGCTGGTGTGCAGCCAAGCCTCCTTGTCCTGCACTATTTCAAGCACGTGGGAATGACATGCGGGGGGCCAGGCACAGGGGCCGCTGCTCTGTGTAGCCATGGTCACAACCACTCGGCCCAGGTTCGGCCCCCAGCTCAGACCATCTCTATTTCTGGCAGTGCTCCTCAACCTGCGGGAAGGGCCTACAGTCCCGAGTGGTACAATGTATGCACAAGGTCACCGGGCGCCATGGCAACGAGTGCCCCGCCCTCTTGAAGCCAGCCGCCTACAGACAGTGCCACCAGGAGGTCTGCAATGACAAGATCAACGTGAACACCATCACCTCCCCTCGCCTCGGTGAGTGGCCCCAGGCTGGTGGGGAGGGCACTGCCGCCCCCAGCCAGCTAATCCCTGCTGGTTCTAGAAGCCAGAAAGCGCCCCCCTTGGGGCTGATCCCAGCCCTGGAGAGGCCAGCATTTGTCAGCTCTGTTGAAGGTTAGAGGTTTCAGAGATGGACTTTTGTTCTTTGTCTGCAAGCAGCAACCTCAGACACAACACGGCGAGCACCCGCTAGTCCCTCTGCCAACAGTGAGGGACACAGGATGGTCCCCCAATAAGGTTTTGGGGCTCCTGTGCATGAGGAGGGCAAGGGGGAGGTGCGTTCTTCCAGAAATGAAGGAGCTGGGGTGTCATTCACGAAACCTTGGGGATGTGCACGTGTGATTTTCTTTAAGCTGAAGCTCGAGAAGGAAGCAGGTGTTGACAGGTTGCAGTCTTGAATTCGGTGGCATGGGAGGGAGAAGAGGGACATTTAACACCAATTTAATGATTCCTTTTAACAGTCTCTTCTCCTCCAAATAGAAATCCCTAAGGAATATTTTCCTACCCAGAGCCCCATTCCCTCATGTTGGAATGCAGCCAGGAGGGGGCTTCTAAGTTGTTTCATAGACGTAGGGGTGGTCTTGGGGCTTGCAGAGGGATCCTGCAGCCCCTTCATGCACAAACTTCCTTGATATGCTTCAGACCCCTCCCTCTGGCCGGACCTTCTCTCCACAAGATGACCCTGAAGGAGGTTTAGACCACTTGTGCCATTAGCTTCTGCTTCAGTGGCCCTTTGAGGCCCACCGCCCCAGGTCATTCTGTCTCCTAAATGCCAGCAGGGATGGCGTCCTAGGCCAAAAAGCAACAGTGCATACCACTTAGCTGGGAAGCGGGGTGCGCAGTGCCCTTGTCCTGAGGAAGGAGCCAGATCACCGTGCCCTGCCAGGTGGTCAGGTGAGACCCGCGAGTGCCATCCCCTGTAGAAAAAAGTGACATCCCGTGGCCCCGGCAGGGGGCTTGTTTCCTCGCGTCCGTGCAAGGCTCCAGCATGTGTGAGCGAGGGCAGCCCCAGAGTCAGACCACGGACCCTCTCTGTGCATGCATCAGGATGTCCCCAAGCCGTCCGTAACCCCTGGGCTCTCTCTCCCCCCACCACACCCTTAGCCGCCCTGACCTACAAATGCACACGGGACCAGTGGACGGTGTACTGCCGGGTCATCCGAGAAAAAAACCTCTGCCAGGACATGCGGTGGTACCAGCGCTGCTGCCAGACGTGCAGGGACTTCTACGCAAACAAGATGCGCCAGCCGCCTCCGCCGTCGCTGAGCTCATGACACGTGGCCCAGTGGCCCCCCAGCGCAGCAGCGCGTGGCCTGCGTGCTAACGACATGGCAAGCTGAACGCCCACCTGAGAGCACACCAGTCCTGCCCGGCCGGGCCCTCCCCACCCCCGGAGCACACCACCACTCACCCACGAGGCTGTCCCAAGAATCCGACCGTTATAGAACTGGAGCGTGGACTTGACGTTTGCTGTTAGCGCTTTTGTACTTAATATATTGTTAATGGCCACTGGATGGCTTTCTACAGTAAGGAAAAAAATAGGCATGAGTCACAAAATTATTGTCCTTTCCAAGGGTCTGTGTACCTCAAAGGGAACACCTCTGATGGACAGTTGTCGAAAGAAAGAGACGTCCCTGTGCACTTCTGTCTTGGCTTTCTTTTGACATTTGAATTCCCGGTGCTTGATGTGCCGGGGGGATTATCCCCCAAATGAGACATTTTACATAAAAACTGGCTTTATTCTGAAAGCTGGCGCCACCCTGGAAGGAAGGGCGGATGTCAGCAACCCTCTGCAAAGGGCTTCTCCTGAGAGGCCCAGGCTGCCGGAGCCCTTCTTGACCACATGAGCATCAGCACTTTGCCTCTCGGCCCATCTCTGAAAACACATTCTCTAGATCGTGGGCCTTGTCTTGGAAATCTGAATCTCTGTCAGCCAAGGATGCCAAGACCACGTGATTCTGCATACCACCTGTGTTGGGAAGAATATTCTGGAAGTGTTTGGGTTTGCGGAGGCATCTAATTTCTATACAGTCGACCACATTGGGAAACAGAAAAGTCTTTCTCTAAGGTGTTATGAAATGGGACGTATGTTAATTTGCGGGATGGGACTGCTTCCTGGCATAAAGGTGAGCCCTTCATCCGGGGCATATGGCCCCTCTGCCTTCTGGGGGCCTCTGCTCCAGGCAGTGCTTCATAAAACTTTGCACCTTACAAATGGCTTCCCGTTGACCTTGGCCATCTACCTGAAGTTGATTCTTTCTAGAACCTCTGGCTACTTTGCCCTGGCCTGGAACAGGCTTCCTCCAGAAGCCACTCAGCCTGGTGTGCCGGGATCCATGGAGGACGGCCCCCCTTGCAAGGATCGCGGCACAACCACCATGCCTTCCCATAGCCCAGACCTTGCGGGGCCCGGCATTGTCACACTGTTGTCATTGACCCATCTTCTTAGTAAGGCAAGGATGACTCTCAGAAAAGCATGAAGAAAGCCTTTCCCTGCTGCAGCCCCTCAAAGCAGAGCTGCGCCCTCTCCAGAAGCCTGGGCAAATGACAAGAGTACAGAAGACAGTGGGACCCCACCCACTTTGGGAGCTGGAAGGGAAAGACTCTAGAAGCCAAGAGGCCTGTTTCGCTCACCAACTTGATGGGTGTTTGATGGGTGCTTACATTCAAGGACTTTACCGTGATAAACACCTCCGTGATTGCAGACAGGAAGTCTCATGTATGCCAGTCTCCCTGGGGTCATCTCCAAGGACTTCCTGACTTATTGGTGCTGTGTTTATGTATCTGCTTTTGTTTTTAATGATGTCACAACGTTAGGGTTAGCTTAAGGCTATTTCAATGTATGATTTTTCATATTCCAGAGACAGAGAAGTGATAGGGATGACAAGAAATGTGTGCGGTTCCACTTGAATCATGAGAAGTTTCGAGAAACCTGCTTGGGTGCTGTGTTAAGGACTGAGAGAATGCCAGGATGGAGTGATCCACCCTGCAATGTAACCCCCGCCCCCCCACCCCGATGGTCGCACCAGGGCCTGTGCAAGATGCTGTCCTCCCGAACTCAGGCTTGGGCACCAACAGAATCCCTCCAAACCCCGTTTCCACAAAACTTTCAAATTCATGGGGAGCTAGGGTTCCATGTTCCCCCAGCCCCCAAACATATGAAAGGTAGCAGCCTCAGATCCTGAGGAGCAGAGCTAGGACAGCCAGCTAAGGAAGCCAGGAAGCCTTGCTTGCTCATACACCTGCTCGTACCCAAGTTGGGTGAGCCCATAGGTGAGCCCTCTCCCTGGTGCCTCTGAATTACCCCCCACTGGCTACCTTGACCGTGTCCACTGGATGCATCTGGCCAGGGCCTCACACCTTTAAAATCCAAAATAATTGATTTGACTTGGTTCTTATTAAACACCCCATTGGTTCCCCCAACATCGGTGTCTTTCTGACCTCTTTTAGCTCACGCTGGCACTGAAATTCCCCAGCCCGCCTTCTGTTTATGGCACGAGCAATGATCGATGTTAGCGAAACCAGCCTGGTGCTCTTCTTCCACTGTGTACAGAAGACATTGAAACCCTGTGATCACAGCAGTGACGTTTCTTTATTAACACTACCCTGTACTGTCACTCGAGTACTGTACCTTTTTGATTGCACAAATGTGTTACTAACTACAGAGTCTTATGACCTTATGGTGCTACTTTCGTGAGTACAAATGAAACCCTCTCACTTGACCATGGCTTGATACTATCAGAACACAGGGAAGATCCTCGGTAGCAATAATATGATTGCTTTGCTCTCTCTTCTTCGTTTCAGAGTCAAATGTATATATTTTCCATTAGTTAACTTACGTTACGTACTGTACCCATGGTATTTTTGTTTTATTTTTTGGTGCTGGTTTTGAAAGAAAAAAGAACAGAAGACAAACATTGGACACCACTGTAAATGAAAAATTAATCATTTCATTGGAAGTGAGTCGAACATGTTTTAATAAAATGTTTTTCCATAACAATTTTAAGCTGTCTGTGAAGTAAAAGACAAAAGCCAGTCCTCGAGGGCTGACAGAGGGCTGCCTGTCCTGCAAGTGGCCCCGTAGCATGCCTGGAATGGCGTCCCGAACACAGCTGTGGATGGTGTCAGAAGTCACTGGTAAATGTGGTTCTGGCCAGTGGCTGCATCTCCCTGAGCAAGTACTAACAAATCATCCTGTCCCGGGCCTCACCCCGGTGTGGTTGCAAAGCGTTGGGTGGGGACACAAAGGCCTGACAGCTGTGCTGTGAGTCTGCCTCTGATGCAGAGCAGAAGCCACCTCGCTCGCGGAGACACCCATGCTCCTTTGGGGTGCAGCGACCCCTGGTGCAGGCGAGGGGGGCACTTCAAACAGAGCCTGGGCCCTGGTAATGCCATAATGGGCACCTGCTCCCTACAGCCTTGCTTTTCTATCTTTAGCCCCTCCGTCCCCCACCCTGCCCACAGCTTCCCTCCTCATGCAGGGATGAGGAGCAGTCTTGGCCCTGCCATCCTCCCGGGCTAAGGACACGGCAAGGTTACCACACCGTGGGACCCCATCTGAGATTGACATGGAGCAGGGATGTCACTGCTCCTTCTTCTGGGTCAGGAGGTGGTGGTTCCTCTCCTTCCAGAAGCAAAGAGAAAAAGTTCCCCAGCCAAGAACGTGGAGCTCCATTCAAAGGAAGGCCTCCTTTGAATGTTGGAGCAGCCCCCAGAAATTTCCTGAAGCAAAGACCATTTGTTTAACAGACAGCAAACTGCCCACAGCATCCCCAGTTGCCAGGAAACACAAGCCTGTTGCTGGCGTTCATTCTCATTAATCATCAGCCACCTACCTCAGAGACCTGCTAGTATCATCTCCTCTTTTCTCTGAGAGCTCTGATATCTCTGGAATGTCCAGCAGCCCTGGTGGTATATTTCTCCAGGAGCGGCTGCGATTCCCGGGTGGCCCTCAGTTGGCTGTTTGGTGGGTGAAATGCACGTGCTCTCGGTCAGCGATTGTTGAGTGGGTTTCTAGTGGGAACCAAGCACTCCCTGGAACTGATGAGAACACAGAAGTAGCAAAGACCAGCTCAGTAGCCCACAGCCCCACTGAGCAGACAAGCCTGGAGTCCTGGACAACAGAGAATGAGTGAGAGCTGCAGGAACTTTAAGAAAGGAAAGGTCAAGGCCTCCTTTGTGGGTTTGTTGATTGGCCTCTGGACACAGGCTAGAAGCGGGGGGATTGAAACTTCCATGAACTCTTCAGACCACTCCACTGGCTCGTGTCCCCTGTCCTGCATTAACACTATTCTTGTGTCATATGACCTTTAGATATTCCATTGTGTCTTGTCCTCAGCAGGCACTATCCTTTGGGACATGCTGTTCTTGCACCTTCTGGATCACTGTCTCCTGACTTTTGTCCTCCTCTTGCTCCTTTCCTAAGTCTCCTTTCTTTGCCAGCTCTAGGCCATGGAATGCCCCAGGGCTCAGCCCTAACCCCCATCTTTCTATGTACTTTCGTTTTAGATTGTGTCACCCAGACCCGAGACTTTGAGAACCAAGCATGTTCTGGTATCTCTCCAATTAACATCTTTGGTCCTGACCTCTCTCTTCACCTCTATCTTCATACACCACCTCTCTGTGTGCACAGGCCATCCCATGGAAAGCTCTGGGACTGGGATGACCCTTCAGAGTTATCACAAATCTGAGACATGGTGGGGACAGCTCACCTTTGTCCATGTGACATTAGCTGGGGTGGTTCAAAACACAAATAGAGGCCGGGATTATGAGATGGCTCCCCTGCTTGCCTAACTGGCCAACAGTGCCGGTCTTAAGAACCTCAGCTGGCACTTACAGCCAGAATACCTACAACATGAACTCTCCGAGGAACTGCTGGGCAACCCTGAAGGATGATGGGAGGTTGCACTGGTCAACACTCTGAGAGAGAGCATGACTTTCATGACGGCTGTGTCACCCCATTGGACAACTTGAAAGTTCCACGGCATCACATCCATCATCCTCTGATAGTTAAGGCAGTCACGAAGGCTCACATTAAGTTCAAGGGGAGGAGACGAAGAGTCTGTCTCATGCTGGGGAGCATGGGAAGGCTCCGGAAGAGCAGATGAGATGAGAAACGTTTAGCCATTTGGAGAAAGATTCACATACTCTCAGATGCAGAATATGCTCACCCTTCCCCTAGAGTCTCATCCCATTTCAACATCACCGTCAAGGTCAAAGCCCTGGATTTCATCATCTAAGTCAGGTGCAGGTGCAGGTTGGCTTCCTTCTGTGTGCAGCTCCCTCCAGGAGAGCTTCTTGAGCACTATTTCTCTCAGTCTAAAGATGAAGGAACTCAAAAGAGACACTGCCTCCTCCCAACCTCCAGCATCCAAGAGAAAA